ATAGCATTTAAGTCCTATAATAGGATGCCTAGACCTGTTTTTATTTTTATTTTTTTTCGCCCTGTCGCTTCATATTTTTTTCTGAAAAAAAATCTGAGAACCAACAAATTAAATTGGTGTGGCCTTAACACATGTAACAGAAGAACTGAGGGACTGAGTGAGGGTCGATACTACCACAAACCTACTCTTAGAAAGAGCACTTATGCCCATAAAAAGTCATTCAAAATTTCTAATTAATACAGTGAATACATCAAATATCTCCAGTCTCACCCTTCTGCCCAGGTTTGTAGATGGGCTTGTCTGTAGAGATGAAGGTAGAGGTGGCCTTCTTGGAAATTTTGACACTTTTCTCATCTTTGAAGTCGTACGACGACCCCTTTCCATACACCGACAGCTTTGCTTCCTTGTCACTGGAGACAAGGGGAACCTGCGGACAACAAATTTTTCCAGTTTTCCAGCTAGAAATTATGAAAGAATGACAATCATATGTAGGAAGGATTTTTGTTGAATTTAACAGAAACAACTTATGCCTTGAACCTTGAATGATCTGAACTAAAAGTAGTAAAAGGACAAGTAGTGTTTATACACTGTGACCTCTGTCATCATTGTCAGTCACATGATTCAAAGCTTTCAAGGTAATTAGTATAACATTAGTACACCCTAAAACACTAGCCAAACCCTGCTGTGTCTTTTCTGAGCATATCCCTGTTGCTAGAGTTGTAAAGCAATTATCAATTCAAATAGTTTAGATGATGAATTCAACTTGAGGCCAAATGTACAATAACAACTTTGACAAGACGATTTACTTAACATGCTGGACTTTGCCCTAAACCAGTCAAATGTCAAGGAATATGGCTTTCAGCTCGATTTGATTTGAGCATCAACATTAGAAATCATATAAGTTGAGAAAATACAGATGTTTTTATAAAAGGATTTCTAATTACAAAAAGATTACACTTACAAAATAACTTATGCTACTGATAAAGTAACAGCTGGGATACATGTACACTGAACAGCAAAACTGTATTTTGGGAACCCATCCAATAGAGTTGCCTATGGGGAGTATGGGTTCTTACGATTCAATTCAATGGAAAAAAAATAAGCGGAGAATCTGAGAACGAGATATGCAACTGGAGTGGCCTAGGTGTCAAAATAGAAGGACCTTCACTTGGGACTGCGATATCCAAAGATCAGAGGAGAGTCAGAGATAACATACTGTGGCTGAAGCTGGTGTGTTATGCCGAAAGGCGGTTATACCGGCTATACAGATACAGATACTAAAATTTAAAAGAAATAAGCTACCGGTACTTGAAATGAAATTTACACTTTTGTATGGTTCAAAATTGAGCTCTGATAAAGTCAGCAATCAACGTCAAGGTAATACTAACCTTGAGCTTGACACATTTGTCTTGGCCCTGTTTAAGCACATCAGTCACCGTGGCAGGCTCAAAATCATCTTTCGATGACAGTTCAATTGAGACCTTCACATCATCCTCTATCTCAAACAGTGAGATACACACAGCCTCCTCAGTACCAGCCTGCAGAACCTTCGGGGACAACACAAGGTATCTGAAACAACAGAGAAATTAGTGATTAGTAGGAAATCAAGGATACACAATAGGTGTGAAATAAAAAGTATTCATCCCTCGTCTGGCACATTCTACTAGTCTGGTGTTACCTATTCTTCAACAGCGAATCCTGATTGGTTCTTGTCACAACTTTACCTGATGATAAGTCATGGTTAAGCTGAGTCATAAAAAAGAAACTTGTTGTAAACAAACACTTTCCAGTAAGTTTTAATTAATCATTTCATGAGAAAACCATTTGGTGGCTCCTGTGATTGTTTTTGTTACCATTACTCGAAGGAAATATGACACAGTTGAAAAGTTGTCTGACAAAAAATATTGCAGCTGATAGTACTGTAGCAGTGCCATTGGTTTGAAGGGTAAAATATATAACCCAGCTTTTATATAGCATTTATAGTCTCCAGACAACCAATGAGGACTTTAACAAAGCCATGGTGTGATTGCCCAAGGGTATATGGCTGTTGACCAATGGTATCTAGTACTCTTCTGTAGTGAACTGATTTTCCCCCATACTTTTCTGGCCTTCCAGCCAACCATGCTATATGCTTTCAAAGAAAAACAAGTCTAATTTCTAAACTGATTTGAGATGATTTGGAAAAATAGCCACAGCCGACACAATAAATTAATAATGGCATTTCGGAGATTTCCTTTTTCAGATGTACAATTTGTTCTAATTGGTACTCGGTATCCTTATGTATGGAGGTCTGAGTAAAGTAAGTGTGAGAAAACTTGTAAGAGTGGTGCTGGGGTCATGATTTAGCCCAGGCAGGGTAATCTCCAAGCAGATCTTTTGACAGTATCAAATTGGCCAGTCTGTATCCATGGGGAAATGGATACAGACTGGCCAATTTGATACTGTCTTACCCCCACCAAAAGATCTGCTTGGAGATTACCGGCAGGGTACAGACCACTGTGGGTACAGACTAAAGAGTAAAGTCCTTCCAACCAGCCCTGTAAACAGGAAGCCGTTCCCGAAACAATGGATGGTAAATCAGACGTTCCCAATACACATCGTGGGTAGGACTGGCACGCCAGCTTCCTGTGTTCTTCTCTTTCGCTCCAGTTCCATCCGTACTGTTAACTCTAAAACATTCTTTGCTAGCCTCAAACATAGACAGAAGGTTTCAAAGGGAATGAAAGAGACAAATAGTTGTGAGATGGTGAACCGTGGTTTTGTCGTGGAAGGAGAATTACCCTTAGCATCACATTCGTGCAAGATGCAAACTGCTGATGTAGCATGTTCACGGGTCGCGTCGTGCTGAGCTTGTTTTCGAGAGAAGGAAAATTTGGCTCGTCGGCAAAAACAACTGCGCAGCTCGTGTGTTTGGCACTGTCCTGGGAATACATGTGGACTTTAACTTAGTGCTACCTGAAAACAAGACACAGGGCGCTCTTCGCAAATTCTGAAAACGGTGCGTGTTACGAACTTTTACTCAGCTGCAGTCTGCATGATACAACAGAACGCAAGCTGTGCGATAACGTTCACACATCGCGATACACACAGAAAAGTGAATGTATCTCTTACCTTTGGGCCGTCGCCGATGCAACAAGCAAGGAAAGTACTGTAAACACCGCGACCTTCATAGCTTCATTCCCTCCTGTCGCCCTCCCAAACTGTAAAACAGCCTGCTGCAATCTGGCGTTATCAGCAGCTTATCAGCTTTTATTGTTTTTGCGGGTGTCCGCTTCACCCACCAAACGAAGATATGACTGCGCGCACTATCTTTCGGTAAACTTTTGATAAAGCCACATCGTGTATACCATTACCAATGAGGTACAGATGTGAGGAGTTTCAATACAGTGAATGGCAGAAATGTAGTTTTTACATTCTATTTTTGGCGCTTGTACGGTACGGTCGGTAAATCCGCATTATGCGGATGAATAAAAAGCAAAGTTTTAAAGTGAGGAGGTTTATCGTGACGTCACCAACACATGTGCTTGACCAAATGATGTTTGGCAGAGGCGGGGCTTACAATAGCAAATCTCAGCGCCATCCGAGAAACCGGCGGAAAATACCGGACAGAACCTGATGAGTGATGAAAACAAAATGCATATCAAAGTGAAGTGAAGCGCTAGCGGTGTTACATGCGAAAAGAATCATCTGATATGAAAATCCCAATCAAGACTGCCGTTGAAAGTAGGGAATAGCGCATGTTAATTTGAATAGCCCTATATTTCCAATATTTTGGCGACATAAACCTCTGATGTATTTGTAGTATTAATTAAATTAATGTCTATGTAACGTTACATATCTTATACAGAACTTTCTCTGGATGCAGTCTTATTTTCCCCAATGTTAGTCAGTCAACCAACGTATATATGTAGTGGGGTTGCGCTCGATGTTATCCGTACACCCGCCCTTCACAGATTACAGGCCCTTTACCTATACGCCTTCAGAAACTGTTGGTAACTTCGGGAAACATAAATCTTGGTGAAAAATAATGGGCTGTGGCTACACTCACAAAACGATGTGGTTACAATACACGCTAGTGTCAACTTGATTAATATTGTCAGGTAGTTGTGAGAGTGGGGCGGTTTTCGGAAATCCGAAGGAAAAGTTCATATGAGGTCATTCCTAGTACCAAGGACTCCTCAGGCGTTCTGACGTCAGTGATGTTAGTCATGATGAGCCTGGGCCTGATTTTCGGCGAGGGGGAGTAGGTTGTACGACTTGGCACCACCATCAACAACAAGCACAGACAGTTTCCTGGTTTCCTAGAATGCGGCATTAATCTAAATAGGTAAAACAGCAAAAGAACACAACAAAACACGTGGTTTGAATAAAATTGCTTCCAACATGAACCTGCGTGGGAGGAAGCAAGCCGGAGCATTGTGTATGCGTGATAATCTCCAACCAGATCCCTTTTCGATGGCAAAAAGACATCAAATTAGCCAGACAGTACTAGTATCCATTAGCTAGAGAAAGTCGCCAGCCACCGACGGGTGGGGGTACCGAAAAAAAAATGGCCATATGTAAAAAGCTAACGATCATTCCCCCACAACCTCTGCTTGGAGAGTATGTGCTTGACTCCATGGCCGGAGTTTGCAGTTTGTACCAAAGGTATTTCTCAGTTTGCTTGTTGTTGCCTGAAGAGTTGTGACCCTGACCCCACCGCGTACGATGTTACACACGTGATACGTCAGGTGTACCAACATTTAATGGTGAGGCAGTCTTGGATGTGGGACAAAGTTCGGCTGTCTTGTGGGCATCGCGGGCGCCGTCAGTTCTACCAAGCCAACATAAAATCGCGCCACCAAAATAAAAGCGATCCGGCATACTATAGTCTCTACCAGACTAAGTGACCCTATTATAAAGGGACCCTACCAGACTATTTAAACTACGCTGGCTATATATATATAGGAGAATAATTGCCAGGGGAATTTAGCCTGTAGGTTTGGTTGGCCGCGCAGTTAGAGTTGGAGGGAAAGAAACTACCTCTCCGCGGCAGGACTCTCTTGGCCAATTTTACTGCCTTGGCTAGATCCGGCATATGACAGACGTCTATTTCTTCCAAAATATGTCGGAATTTACTAATTTTATCACGAACTGGAGGTTGTTCACTAGTGCATCCTTGGATCTGGCAAATCCACCAAGGCTATCCTACATCTGTATCTAGCACAAGAGGGATTTTCTCTAAATAAAATATAGTGCCTCTATACCATTACAAAGATACACTAATTCACATATAATTGTCCTTTTCCCACAAAGTAATTCAAATTACGACCTATAGTTGAAAAAAAAGGTCCACACTTGCCATGTAATATTATACATGTACTTTAATTGAAGACAAAGGATACCCTTACAGTAGACATTATCTTTAGGTTACTTCTTTCTACATTACTTGTCATAACAATGCTACCACCAGCGCCATAAAGTTTTGAAAGAAAACTGCAATGGTCAGCAAAACCAAGAAACTAGAGTTTTCAGACTTCCAGGCGGGTTTTTCCGTTTTCATGAATGTATTGGATCTGTGGAGGAGCCTGTATGATGTAAATGATGTAATCTAGGTGCCTAAAGGTGTCACAGCCTAAGGGTATTCCTGAATGTGGCATGATGAGAGACAAACAAAATGTCTGCCAAGGGGCATCTTTCATTATATTTGCAGGTCCCCCTATGATGTCCCATCATTGACTTACTCCATCAGTCTCATTTTATCTGTAATACTAATAGATCGACTATCATGAGTCCTTACAATAAAGTTACATCCAGGTTAGTATGATGATGTGTGTCATCTTACAGCCCCCTCCAGCATCTTCAACATGTGGCTCTCTATCACCTGTTGGACTGTGGGATTTAAACAAGTGGAACCACATTAATCCAGTAGTATTGCCTGCTTTACTATACTCTACTAGGCTTTGGGAGACGGCTGGAAAGAGTAGAAATTGGCCAAATACAGGGAGGTAACATGCCGAGGGAGTTGGTCAGCTAGCGAGTACATTTTGCAGCACCCGGGACGTTCATGTACACTCTAGCAGACCAATTACCCTGGCATGTTATCTCTCTATTTGGCCAATTTCTACTCTTTCCAGCCATCTCCCAAAGCCTGGTAGAGGCTATTACCTGCTAACCTCCAAGAGGTGGGTTGATCCACATAAACATACAGATTAAACCTCGCTAAATAAATGTGTCATGTTTATCAAAATCAATCCAGAATTGGCTTCAGCAGAAATCTGGGTCAAAATCTCCTGTGCTGGCAGGGCAAAACAGACTATCAGGTACTAGTGCGCATTGACAAACCTCAATTCATTTTCATGTAATTTGACCAACAGGAAGTTTAAATCATACACCTTTCAGTGCTCTATCAGATGAGTGTGTGATAAGTGAGTTCACCTGTTTTGTGTCCCAGTGCAATAGCTAACCCCAGTGGACTCTGTCCGGAGTCTGTCTCCACAGTCATGTCTGCACCGTGGCCTACAGCAACAATTCATACACGCACACACAAAATCTCAGCATTTCTCTCAAACAGCAAAACAGTCAATGCAGTAACTGTTAAATCATGTGTACAATATATTGGACGGTAATCAATCAAATAAACTGCCAAAAAATCCTTGCATTCATGGCATTGAGATTCAGTGATCCAAGTCATGTTTCCTGCTGAATTTCTCTCAAATCTCAGTTAACAACGTCCAAAGTGTCCGTCACAATTGTTATCCAGTGAATAACTGACTGCAGCTGATGTCAGGGTCCCCGCAGCAGTATAATCAATTACATGTTCAAGATATCTGGGACCATCTGAAAAGAGTTATATACCTGTGGTGCTTTTAATAAGCCTATAATATTAAGTAAGCAGTTCAGTGAGCTTCAGGCAATGCCTTATTTGACTAAGGTAGAATTGGTTATAGATAACCAAGCAAACATAAGAGGATTTATAGTATACACTGGTTAACTTACACAGTAGGAGCTGTACACACTTTGGGTGATTTGCATGGATGGCATACAGTAGAGGGGTTCCTCCATTCTGAAACATGAAGGGGTCTGAGTTACATGTACTTCAACCAGGACATAAAACATCATCTCATGGGGATGACTAAGAAAATTGGTAAATTTTACCACTGATTCTTCAGGTGTAAATTATTTATTAACACACTTACTGACAGTGGTTCATAGAAGTGTCAGTTTGAATATCGGGTTGAGAAAGAAACAACATGTCAGCCAATTAATGTGTCAATCTTAACCAGGGCCCTCCTTGGCAATATCATTTAAAGGAAAGGAATTTTCATCTGTAAGCTATTTAGAGTTTGGCAAGTATGTAGCCAAGAAGGAAGTTTCTGTTTCCTTTCATCAAACTTTGGGCGGGCTGCCAGGCCCCTTCTTGACAGACTAGCATTTAAACACACAACATATTTGTCACAATTCAGGCAGTATCAGCAAAACAACTCTGCCATCTGGTATCATTTAAGGCACACTAGAGTTTGTTTTGTGACATATATCTGCCACTTTGAAAAAGAAAACACATAACATTCCCCATCTTTTACTCTCTCAGTTACGTAGCCACAGGCTGTAAGGGGCAGTCTGTATGCTACCTGCTGTATGTACCCCTGAATATATTATTAGATGTTCCTAAGCAAGGGATTATTTCTTCACTTTTCAGTTCAGTGGATATACTGATGAAAAAGGTGTAATGGAGGTTGATGATACTACAGTTTGAAAGGTGATGTATCAATCAGTTCTACACAGCCTGACATTACCTGTTTATTTGAGAGTTGAGGTCATCTTGTTTTCCCACCTAATCATGACATGGGTGGTTACTAGTATGTCTTGAAGGAGCACCTCATTTGATTTATAGAAGTGAAGAATTGACTGCATCATTCTCACCCAGTCGAAGGCATTGACATTAGCTCCAGCCTTCAGCAGTGCCTGCACAATCTCTACATGTCCTTTACAACAGGCAAAGGACAGGGCAGTCTCCCCCTCCCTGGTGGCTCCATGCACACTGCCCCCATTCTCCAGCAGGAACACAGTCACACCCACTTGCCCATGGGACGACGCCCACATTAGTGACGTCAATCCATTCTCATCCACTTCATTCATGTCATAGCCTAGAAATGGAAGGAGACTGTTTGGTAAGTTTTACTTCACTGACTTTTGAGTCAAGTATGGTCTAACTTCATAGCATGGACCTATACGAGCAATCGCCATGACGCCATGGTAGGCAAAACACGGGTGACGGTTGGTTGATTTGCCGATAGTTTGCATATGTCTTCAAATGATTTGCATGTACATAATTTGCATGTGTATATGATGTAAACAAAACAGCGATCGCTCGTACGTAGGCACTACTTGGCTACCAACTATGTTGTTCATTCGTCATTTGTCAATTAATATTCTTATGGTAGTATACTAGGTCCTATAATAGGCAGACCATAGTTGGTTTAGACAATAAGGTTATAACCTCCTTGGTTTGGGGTACCCATACAATGCCCAGGTAATACAACAAACAGAAGTTAAAGCACCATGAGAGTACAGATTGTGTGAAAATTTTAGGGGAAAGGAATTTTCCAGTCAAAAATGATGCACATGGAGTTATCATAGCTATTATTATTATTATTATTATTATCATCTATATCTTTGACACAATAATGACTTATATTGTCGGAAAGAGGAAACTCAGTAGGTACATGTGTAATCAAGTCAATCATATATAAAGAAAATCCCATGGTTTGTGGTGGAAGAATTGGAGAATTGTAGGCAGTGATTGATTTGCCAGCAGTTGCTATTCATAACAGAATGTGGAAGGACAAACATGTAACACCACAGTAAAGAATACAGCCAGAAAGCAAATTAAAACTAGAAAGGCCAATATTTGCTTTGGAGCAAATACAGCGATGGGTTCACCACATTTTACCACATGGCAGGGAAAGAATGAGAAACACAAGGGAAAACAATGATTTACATTGATATAACTATAATATGAAGTAAAATACAACTAAAACAACAGTTGGATAGCTATTCCCTACTTTATTGGTTAGGATTTTTAATTGCATAATGCAAACTGTTGATTTTCAAAATAAAAAAAAAAACGTACCATGCCCGGCATTCCAATGCTGGAGCAGGAAAGCTTGAAATACCTACCAAAACACTTGAATACAGACATACTGTCAGTATGGAAATGCTTCTGTGCAGGTGTTAATCAAGTTAAATCCCAACAGCCAATCAGCAAGAAGTATAGAGGAAAGCTGCATGCCTATTGGTTGATGCCCTGCATTCCATTGTGATGACTCATATGCCCAAACGTGGTAAAC